CTAGTCTTACACTGCTAAATTAGGGACGGCTAGCGCAGATAGCCCTCGTGTAGCTTTGCGCGAAATTCAAAACAAACAAACAAATTGAATAAGAGAGTCCTTGGTTTGCGTCCCATAACTAAAGAATCCCCCACCCACCCCCACACACTTTGCAGTAATCCGAGAGATGGTCAAATCTCACTATTCGATTAGAATTGCTCACTAGTTGGTAGTTAGAGCTGTTGAGTAATTTCCTTTCCCCTAGTCTGTAAGCTCAAATTAGGGTCAAATAGTACAGATAGCCCTTGTGAAACCTTTCGTGAATAACAAACAAACAATTGATATAGTTGATTTTTGAAAACATTATATTTCATCAGTAACGTAGGGCAAAACCAAAAGAAACAAAATGTTAATCAATTCTCATTTTAAACTATGTTCTTACAAGTGTTTTAACCTTCTATCGGTTTCAAGTTCTACACACCCTAATCTTCACTTCATTAGTTTATTCGAACGTACGTTAATAGAATCCATCTACAAGGCGAGTTAGTATAGGCTACTAGTTTGTATTGTTTTATTTTCATCACAATGTACCATACTGCGTTCTGTGGGCATTTATAGTATGGACAGCAACGATGCTAACAATTAGTTCGTTGATCTGTATCATTATATTGCTGTTAACAATGTATTTTGATATTTCCTTCACTAATTATTGATAACAGTAAAGATGCCTACATTTACAACAGTGCAACTGAAAATCATATTGCCTAAAACTATAAAATAAATCGATAAGAATTTTGAAGAATGTCAATATTAGTAAATCAGACTTTAATGAATAATGTTTGTTTAGTATATTGAAATATTGTTACGACAGCGGAAGTCACGCGACGCTGGGAGCAGGCGCGCTGGAGTTTCTATAAGGATCATGACTTATCGAGGAACCCCGCGAATGTCTGAATGTTTGCCAGGCGCCCTCTTTTTTAGTATATAGGCCCGGCAAATAAAGCCAGCAAGAGAAGAGATATATAGATAGATTGAAGAGATAGATAATTGAGTCAAGCGAACAGTAGGCACCGTAAGTAAAGTATGTAAATCA